ATATATTTCAATATATATATATATATATATATGATTTCAATATTTTAACTGTTTAATATTTAAATTTTATGTCAATCATCTTACATGTTAAATTCTATATATTTGTTTGTCGGATTATACAATATTTTTCCATAAATATGTAAAAGTTTATTTTTTATATTTTTAAAATTAAGTGACTAAAAATAATTTTTTACATAATTTATAAAGATAAAAATATGTTTTAAGTATAAGCATTATATTTTGCAGTGGTTAAAAATTGATACGTTGATTCTGTCCTGGAAAGTAAAAAGAAAATAAAATTAACGATAAGTTGGCAGCACCGCAGCAGGAAGAAAAGAGAAAATCAAGTGACGGCGGTTCTGTTTGCTTTCTCACTGCCACCGAGCCCTAAAATCTCCGCAACGCTTCTTAGAGAGAAGAAGCACTCATAACATAACATAACATAACATTTTAGGGTTTATAAGAATAAGAATAAGAGGAGAAGAACCCTACTTGTTTGATTTCTGCATCCAAGTGCCATGTAAGTCCACACTCGCCACTCATTCATCACACTCTCTTTCTCAATTACTGAATGAATGCGATATATGGTTGTGCAGGTCAAGGATATGCGTCAAGAATCTCCCCAAAAATGTCGCAGAGGATCGACTGCGGGAATTCTTCTCACAGAAAGGAGAAATCACTGACGTCAAGCTCATGCGTACCAAGTACTTTACCGAATGTGCTCACACAGATAATTGTTGTTGTTATTGTTATTGAAAACAGTAAACAAACGAGTTTTGACATGACTCTTCTGTTTTGTGTTGGGTTGCTTGTTAATTTTCAGAGATGGTAAGAGTCGTCAATTTGCTTTTATTGGATTTCGTACTGACGATGAAGCTCAAGAAGCCATTCGATATTTCAATAGATCGTATCTTCAAACATCTAGAATTACTTGTGAGGTCTGTTGTTATTGTGTAGCTTTTTTTTTTTAAAAAAAAAATTCAAATTTGTGTTATTGAAACTCAAGGCTGAGGAACTTGGTTTGCAATGTTCTTTTTAACCAAGCAGGTGGCTCGGAAACATGGGGATGAAAATCTTCCCCGTCCGTGGAGTCGGCATTCGAAAAAGAAAGGCGACAAAGGCAATGAAGTGACTGCCCCGGATGTGGATAAGCATGCTAGAGCTAAGGGACAAGGGAAAATTTTGAAGGATGAGGGTGTTCATGTTGATGACCCGGAGCTTCAGGATTTTCTTCAGGTCATGCAGCCTCGGGTTAAGTCCAAAATGTGGGCGAATGATACGGCGGTTGTCAACAATGTTGGCAACAACAAAGCAGTGTCGAATGAGGATAAAGAAGGTGCATCGGTTGCAATTGATCAGATTGACTCGTCTGAAGATGGGTTACCTGATGATTCTGAACCCAGCAAGTCACGTGAGCTTGAACGTGAGGAAGTTGTTTCTGATATGGATTATTTTAAGAGTAGGGTGAGGACAGAGTGGTCTGATTCTGAAAGTAGTGATGATGAAGATGGTGATGAAGATGATGATGATAATGAAAATGACGACAAAGATGATCGTAGTGATGCTAGTGAAGATGAAGAAAATTGTGATTCAAAAAATGGTGCTCAAGAGGTTGACCTAGAGGGCCAAGAAGATACTTGCAGAGAGGATGTTACCCATGAAAAGACTCAAGAGAAGGCTACTGAGCAAGGGGGGCAGTTATCAAAACCAGAAGACAGGAAAGGAGTCATTGAGTCCTGTCGGTTGTTTGTCCGTAATCTGCCATATACAACTACGTACTTATCTTCTCTTTTTCTTTAATTCTCTCATGGATGTCATTTGTGGTATTATTTTGGCAAGATTTCCAGTTACATTGTTTTCTGTAGAAAGAATGTGTTAAGCAAGTTGAATTAATCTGTATTACTAATATCTATCAGTGTTTTTTGTGGTTCCACTTGAACTTAATACTGTTTTTATTTCTAGCTGGTTTTAATCAATGCATTGTTATTTTGTTTCAGTGAGGAGGAACTGGAAGAACATTTCAATCGCTTTGGTAGCATCTCACAGGTTCATCTGGTTGTTGACAAAGATACAAAACGATCCAAAGGAATAGCATATATTCTTTACACAGCTCCAGAATTTGCAGCCAGGTAACAACTGCATGACTAGAATGCCTTTTATCTTTTTATGGGCTAGGTGTCTAGCTCTGTGTACTAGCTAAATTGAAGTAAATATGCCACTAGGATGGGTAAATCAATATAACAAGTCAATAGGTTTTACTGTCATACATATGAAAGGATGGGAGGATAGAGAGATTATAGTATAGCTTGCAAAACTTGTGCCTCTTATGGGGGGATGGATAATAATAACCGACAACACCGTCATAAAACCTACAAAAGATTTTGTGTCAACAAGAATACACAATTTACATACTTATAATGTACTTCACTGAAGAGAAAAAGCACGGTATGCAGACCAAATATGCATGTGATAGAGTTAAAAGCCAACAAAAAAAGCATATTCCCCGGTTCAATACTTAAATTTAAATATATCTTTCCCAAATCCCCACCATTCACCCCAAAACTTTTTTACAGCCAAGTTCACTGAAAGCAACATAGTGGCAATTTATTATAAGTAATATTGGTCTAAATACAATAAGGCATAGGTAACAACTTAAGTAAGGAGTTCAAACAAGAAACATATAAAATAAACCGGAAAGGGAAATGTCGAGTTCAAACCAATGAAATGTGATATCTTGTCCAAAAAATTTAAAAATGAATATTTGTTAAAGCAATTAATCCTAGATAAACCAAAAATGCTGCAGCAGTATAGCAGAATCAGATCACAAAGAAACAGCTACAACAAAGATCCAGGCTAGATACAATGCAAAAACAATCTAGTACACACTGAAAAGATGTTCAAAACTTAAACATGCTCAAAACCTTAGAAATGTTTAACAAAAATACTCAAATATCACAGCCCTATCTTAAAGGCAAAATAATCATTAATCTAAGGTATATTGGAGGGAAGCTTGGCTAAAAAAGACTGAAATAGAGGCTAAGAAACAGGGAGTGCACAGACAGAATTAGAGGTTTTCATAATCACTTGGAATTTGAATTAGAGGTTTTCTGCTATAAATGAAATGTAGGTTGGTAGTATTGTAATCCCCTGCCATCTGAAATGTAGCAACAACAACTATAGACTTCAATGTATTAGTAGATTTGTTTTGCTGATAATTAACATGACATCATAATAATTTCTTTTCAGGGCTTTAGAAGAGTTAGACAATTCAATCTTTCAAGGAAGATTATTGCATATAATGCCAGCCTTACAAAGACATTCAGATAATCAAGAGTAAGTATAACATTAATTTTGCAATATGAACCGTGTTAAAATTCTGATGTCAATATCATTCTTTTTGCATTATCACAATAGTTTATGGTGTGCATTTTTCTTGTAGGAACAATGATTTGAAGGACCAAAAATCTAAAACCCTTAAACAACAGAGAGAGGAAAAAAGGAAAGCAGCTGAAGCTAGTGGAGATACTAGAGCATGGAATAGTCTGTTCATGCGCCCTGATACAGTATGCTTCTTGTTGAATAGCTGGGGAGGCAAAAAAAACCTGAAAGATTCTTCTCATTATCCCTATTATTCAAAGAAAATAAAACCTTTTCCCGATTAGTTTTTAGTTTTTCATCATTTTTGTGCTGTCCCTTGTATGTCTGTGCTGCTCTAGTTCAGAAACCAGTGGTCACCTTCTCTTTGTATATTTTTTTGGAGAGTTCTTGGTGAGCCTCTTGTTTCTCCTCATACTCTGGAACAGTTTCTGCTTATTAGGCTTTGGGGATTTAACGTAAAGGAGGAAATAACATTGTGGCAACATGCAATCTTACCAATTCACTGACCGGAGAGGATTTCTCATTTTAAGAATTCCATCTCTACCCCTTAACTAGATTGTGTTGTTATCATGTCCTGGCCTCACAATAGTGTCAGCTAATGGTCATTTCAACGGAGTTTCTATTTCTAGTATCAATAGAGTTGGGGTTTTTTAATTAACTTTTTGTCAACTGGTGTACTTTGTTTAGAAAAATTATTAACCCTCCTTATAGTTGTAAATTTTCTCTTTGTAATAATTTCTTTTCTATAAAAACATCATTCATGGTTATATAAGTATCATTTCTTATTATGGAGGCATGGGTAGCTGGAGAAACTGGAAGCTGATGCTTTTCATTCTCCAATGATTCATATGTTTTCATGACAATAAAATCTTTATTCCCATATCATTTCTAATTACTGTTGTTGATTTTGCTTCCTAAAATTGTTGATGTTATATAGGTTGTGGAAAATATAGCTCGGAAATTTGGGGTTAATAAAAGTGATTTACTTGACCGAGAAGCTGATGATCTTGCTGTACGTATTGCTCTGGGGGAGACTCAAGTGATTTCAGAGACAAAAAAGGCATTTAAAAATGCTGGAGTGAATGTGGATGCTTTGGAGGCACTTGCTAATAATAAAATAGATGGCTTAAAAAGAAGTAATCATGTGCTATTAGTGAAGAACTTGCCATACGGTTCTACAGAAAATGAACTTGGAAAGTTGTTTGGGAAATTTGGTAGTTTGGATAAAATAATTCTCCCTCCTACGAAGACATTGGCACTGGTACAATTTTTCTTGTTTCTCATAATTTTTTGTTTGTGATGTGCCTTTCCTATTTATTTTGGATATTTGATAGCTCATTATCCTGTATTATTGCCTAGTTTCTGTCATTATTTATAGTACATTTTTCATTAATTTATTCTAGTTTTAATAGTATTTCTTCCTTTAGAGTATCCGGGGGCATGAAACAGTCTTATATTCTAAAATATCCAAAAGAAAAAACAAATAACAATTTCGTGCTTGTAATTTACACACCTTTTACTTTTACATTTTAAATACAATAGTTTTACTGTTATTTTTTATCTATGGGGAAAAAGGTTTAATAATTCTTCATTTTATGGACCTTTGGAGACTGCATATTCTTCTGCCTTTTGCCATGTGCTGTAGATGACTTTAATTTTTCTGTAGTATGGGAACTTGAATATACTGTTGGCATTTTGTTGCTTGCTTTCTTGTTTAGTTGAATGGTGAACTTTGTCTTCAGCAGTGAGATATTGGAAAAACTATTGCTGTGCCTATTCATTGTTTTAATGATATATATGTCAAGCTTTGAATTATTTAATGATATTTCAGGTTGTTTTCCTTGAACCAGCAGAAGCTCGAGCAGCTTTTAGAGGTTTAGCTTACAAGCGTTACAAGTAATAATTTATTCTTCTTCTAGTCACATTTCATCCTGTAGTGTTCAGTAATATATTTTTTTTTCTTAACTTCTATCATTGGACAATCTACCCTTTAGCTGTCCTCCATGAATGAATTTATTGTTTCCTTTGCTTTTGAACATGCAAGTTGGTTTTCATAAAAAAAATAAAATAAACTTATTGCTATTGGGCCAGCAATAAGTTTTAGGCAGGTCTGAAGAAGTATACAGCTGTGGCACAACTGCTCTGTTTTCTGTGTTATTTGGAAATTGGGAAGCTTTAAGTGAAAATTGTTTTGTCAGAACTCTCTCTCTTATGCACAAAGGGAGGAGTGTGGGTGGTATAGAGCATAGAGAAAAAGAAGTGGAATGATAGGTATCAAAGAAATAACAGATGTGTATACTGTGTCATTGCAAATCCCAGGCCTGTATCAAGATGATACAGGGCTACCTCTTCCACTATTGTGTCATATTACTCCTGCCCCAAACGACCAAAATAATTAACAGATTTCTCACTCTACCATTTCTTGCTAGCTCATTAGATGATGTTTCATCCTCTGTTGGCTATATGATTTCCTACATCAGCCCCCTATTTACTCTTTCAAACATACTCCCTAGTTGGGGGGTCCTATTGTGTAAGAATAATCCAAACTTAAGGCTATAACTTTTTGCTTTTCGCTTGTATTACTGTAGTAACTGAACTAAAACTTGGAATCTGTTGGTTGGGAGTGTAAATACAACCACAATTTTTGGTTTTCCTCTCTTGGATTGATGAGTAATCTTTGTTAAAGCATCCCGTCCTTTAAAAAAAGTTCATCTATAAATAAATATGCTGCTGCCCATTCTATCTTGATTCATTGAAGGTTATTTACTTGTTTCATATCCAATTCAATGTAGGGATGCTCCATTATACTTGGAGTGGGCTCCTTCCAATATTCTTAGTCAAAGTTCAACATCTAAAAATAATGAAATGAATGGTGCAATTGGTGAAAATGATGCCAAGAGGCAGATATTGGAGCAACACGTGGAAAGAATATCAGATGTAGATATTGATCCTGACAGAGTAGAGGTTTGACCTATAAAATCCTTTTCTTTCAATATTCTTTTCCTCTAATTTTGTGTGGTATTATCTGATCTGATGCATTAGTCTTTTGGGGATAAGAGAAAGAAATATAAGGTGCAAGGATAAACACTATTGCATATAATGAGATAAACATTGTCTTCCCTGGAAAGTTCTATTCTTTAGAAAGAGTGGTATGTGCTTGCCTTGTACATGTTCTAGGGTTCTACTCAATTACATGCTCTCATAGTCGCTGACTTTCCAGGTCTGCCCTCAGCATGTATCAGATGATTAAAATTATCCTTTAGTTGGACTGTCAAATCAATGTCACTGAGCATTTTATATTTCAAAAACTAATGCAGTCATTTTTATAAAATGATGTAGTGATTTGGAATTCAGGCTATTGAGTCTCTGTCCTTGTCAATAATGAAGTTATTTTGTCTGTCATCTATCTATATTATTGCATCATGATGCCACCATGGAGAAATATTCAGTATTTTTGAAATTGTTGAACTTACTTGCTTCTAACTAATCCATTACGCTTATTATTCATTATTTATTATTAACTAATTTGTCATGCTTTAGGCTCGGTCACTGTTTGTCAAGAACCTAAATTTCAAGACAACAGATGAAAGTCTGAAGAAACATTTTAGTGAACTCATGAAAGAGGGAAGAATTTTGAGTGTCAAGGTATTGGTTTAATTGTTAATTGTATGACTTATCTGTATTTCATATTTTTGTTTTTATCACTTTTCATATTTTTGTTTTGTTGCTTTTGCAAATAGGTGAAGAAACATTTAAAAAATGGGAAAAATGTTTCTATGGGATTTGGATTTGTTGAGTTTGACTCCCCTGAAACTGCTACAAATGTTTGCAGAGATTTACAGGTATTTCACGGTTTTTTTTGGTTGAGATTCTAATTATACTTTTTTTTTTAATTTTTTTTTTTATAATTATCTTCTTTTCTTTTTTGGGATCTAGGGGACAGTTCTGGACAGCCATGCTCTTATTTTACAACTTTGTCATGTCAAGAATGATGGGCAAAAACCAAAGACAGTTGAGAAGGATAAGAGTTCAACAAAATTGCTCATAAAAAATGTTGCTTTTGAAGCAACAGAGAAGGATCTGAGACAATTGTTTAGCCCATTTGGCCAGGTGATTAATTACAATTCAAAGAGTTAATCTTCGCTAGCAATGACACTTGGACCCTTAAAAATTAACTGTAATTGTGGTTTGTTATTTATCCATCGAATAAGTTTGTGGGTATGTGTAATTAATTACCCACAAAATTTTGCTGGTATGGATGCAAGTATGTATACTATACTACCCGAGGCTTATACCCACATAAAATATTTGTTGTATTTTATAATTAGGATTTAAAATTTTTTAAAATTTTTAAATTAACTTAATCAACTCATTTTGTAATGCTTTAAATTAGAAAATTGGATTATCTTTGAATTTTTTTTCAATTAAGTTGCATATTTTGCTTTTGATCAATGCTCCTTTTTTTTTTTTTTTTTGATTTTTCATCATTAATGTTTGTATTATGATAGCATTCATGTTTTATTAATTTTTTAAGCGAATGCATAATGAGAGGTATTGAAGTCAACCAGAATGCAGGTGATGGGGTTTGGATATGAGTGAGTATATCTATATGTACCTATTGAGTATTGGGTAATGACGCGGGTATTGAAGTTGCTAATGTGAATATGGATATGGGTACGGGAATGCATTTTTAAATGTGGTTATGGGGATGGTTTTCATCTTACCCTACCTAAACCCCTATCTGTTGCATCCCTAACTTGCACCAATTGCTAGTAAATATTCATTCTTCCTCCTCTCCAAATTATTTTGAATGCAACTATTACCAGTCACATCCTGAGAAGGTATACCAACCTCCTAGTTTTCTTGAATCTGCGGTTGATGCATCCAATGAAAATGTTTTAGATTTTAGTCGAGTGTTGAGTTGAGTGGATCAAAATTTGAAAACATATTAAGGTGTTTGTAACCAGTAACCTGCTACAAAGTTTTAAGACTTGTTTTTGTTTTGAATATTTGAGTTCCATACTGCTGGTTAAAATGATAATGTGCAATTACGTTAATAGTGGTTCCGGAATAATGAGCCTGGACTTGCACTTGATTTTTGTACATTACTTATTGCAAGTTAAAATGACGGACCTGATATCCCAACAATCTGACTGTTTATTGGTTTAACTATTGTTTATAGGGAGTTTATGACTTGAACTGTTTCATCTTAATTTTCATCCTGTTCTAGCTAAATTTTAGCTGACTTCTTGAAGAGAAGGCTAGTGCATGAGACTCTCACAACATGGATTTTGTCTAAGTCTGTTTATTTCAGCCAAAACATGTAGATTTAGTTTCCTGGTGCATTTTATTGCTTTCTTTTCACTCATGTTTGATAGCTGTATACCATGCAGATTAAAAGCTTAAGGTTGCCAATGAAGTTTGGAAACCATAGAGGCTTTGCTTTTGTAGAGTATGTTACTCAGCAGGAGGCACAGAATGCCCTCAAAGCACTTTCAAGCACCCATCTCTATGGGAGGCATCTGGTAAGGGAAACTAAAATTTGACCTTTGAGAAATTTAGTGAATCTCTCTATTCCCTTGTTCTTATTGGGTATGGAGAAGGTCGTTAAGATTTCAAGTATTTGAGAACTTATAGTCCTTTTTATTTTCAGGTGATAGAGAGAGCGAAGGAAGGTGAGAGTTTGGAAGAACTGCGGGCCAGAACAGCTGCCCAATTTAGTGAGGAACACAATGGATTATCCAAGAAAAGGAAGCACGTTGACATCTTAGACGAAGGAAAGATGAAGTTTGGAAGGATTGCTGACTAGTACGCCTCCAAAGATCTGAACAGTTTTGTGCATATGTCCCGAAAATTCAGGGACCATAATTTTGTCATAGGTTCTTAGTTATGTAACATGCCATGGTGCCCCTTATGATCTCGAGTGTTAAACAGCTTTTAAGTTTATGTTTCTATTCTTTAACCTTAATTCCATCTCCCTTGATATTTTGTACACATTTATTAAACTTCTATATTCCAATATATTATTCCATTTTCACATTTATTTTTCTCGTAAGTTGGTGGACTAGAACATTGATTTAATCAAATTTCATGATACTTAGTTAATTTTATGCTTTGGAACTAAAAGACATTATCCCTGGCACTGGTTGAAAGAGGAAGCGGTGTTGGACTTTGAAAGCTGGAAGGAAAGTTGGTTTGGATGACCCGAAGAACGTTTGGTTAGTGAACGTTGGACTTGGTCAATGAATCCTTCATTCCTAGTTCTGGACTCTCAAATCTAACAGTCAAATCCCAATCCAAGCAGCTAACTAGCCATAGCCATAGATTTTCTGCTACTTCACCTGCTCTGACCTAACAGCATCTTCCGAAACAAATATACATAATAGGATCTCACCATTATTTCAACTTTCCCTTCTTCACCTGGTGACTGGTTGATCCATGGATTTTAAAAGGACAATCCAAGTTGAAGAGAGTAATGAAGATACTCGCAAATGTGCGTGCCTCAATTTCAAGCTTGACATGCATGTTGTTCAACTTGTGCCTTTCAGAGCATGCAGTTCTGCACGTCGCAGGTTTCCCGGTGAGTCCTTGCCATCCCACTGTATTATGTTTAAGTTAAACTATTCATTTAGTACCTCCAGTTGCCCTTATTTTAAGGTTTGGTCTCTACAAAAGAAAATGTAAGTTTTAATATTCGTTGTTAACACCAGATAAAACTTTTTTGATGGTGTAAAATTACTGTCATAACTTTCTGTGACAAAAAGTTGCTCAGGACTAAAACTTACTGTTTTTTTCCCTATAGGGAAAAACTTAAAATGAGGAGAATTATAGGACCGAATGAATAGTTTAACTTGATGTCTGTTATATCATGCATGATGAACTGAATGTCTAATTCTGTTTACATGTGTTTGTGCATTTTAATTTCCATCTGTACGTGTAGATGTGCTATTTCTATCTGTTAGTTTGGGTTAATTATTTTTTAAAAAATATAAATTAGTACTGTTTATCTTCTCCTGCTTGAATATAACAGAAATATGCAAGGTGAATAAATTAATTCACATCGATTGGCTATTTTTCAATTTTATGAAGTTAAATTCCGAATTAGAATTTTAATTGTAGTTTACATACTAAATAATATAGCAAACATTAAAAAGCCCAATTCTAAATCCAAAACTTAATTTCAAATTTATTACACTTCAAACAATACCTCAAGTTAATCAAGTCTTGTCCTTGGGATCCACCAAAAAACAAGTCTTACTTTTGGAAAAGTAATACTGAACCTTCATTTGGATATCCCATTTATGGTTTAATGGTTTAATATACATAAGCATTTATAATTTTACAAACGAGTTAAGATACCAGTTTCTGATGGATAAACAACCAAAAGTCAAATTGCTGAGCAGCAAAATCCAAGTCATAGTACATTTTCTATATATAGACGAGTCGTCTTTGATGCGGAAATCATGTAAAGTTGAAAACAAATTCACCAAGCAGTCAACAGTTTGCAAAGTTGAAGTCAATATTAGAGCTGCAATGACTGGTAGTTTGAGACTTTGAGTTGAGTTGAAGATCACTGTTCTGTTAGATTATATGTCGCCTTCCATCTTTGGTCGGACTTTATAATTGCTCCAAGGGAAGTATAATTGGTAATTTTTTTTCATAAATAATATTAAAAACATACATGTAACTATTTTCTTTTTAATCATTTCTATAAATGATCCATACAAATTCATGGAGACGAGTGAATAGAAATGCAATTAGTTGATTGTATAATGAACGGGTTGGTCGTAAAATAAGACATTCATCACAATCCAATATATTAAAGTTACTTTTGAAGGAATCATTCAAATTAAATACAACTATTTAGTTAGATAAGTTTAAATTACTCTATTATTTTCTTTAACTCACTTCATACAATAATTAAACACGTCAAATTTATTTAGATTTAAGATTGGATTTAAAGTTAAATACTTGATATGATAAAACAATGGTTAAAACCCTTATTTGGTCTTTTATAATATTTTTTTGTTTCAATTTAGTCCCACATTAATTTTTTGTTTCAATTTGGTCCCCAATAATTTAAATTATTGTAATTTGGGATTTCCGTCCAAATAATTTAAACGGAGTTAACTGTTGGCCACGTGGATGCCACATAGATGCAATGCCAAATTTCATGAATACACCTGGAACCAGAACGACCCGTTCTACTTGCACATGTTATGTGTTAATTTTGCAACTGGAACGGGCCGTTCCAAATGCAAATTTAACACACCATGAATGCAACAGAACGAGCCATTCTGAAACTAGAAAGGGTCGTTCTGGTTTTAGAACGACCCGTTCTAGATTTAGAACGGCCGGTTCCAGAACGCCAATTTCATTGACCAAAATGTCGGAATGTGATTCAAAAATTGAAAATAAAAATCCATAACATATCATAAATTCAAAGACACAAAGATGGTTCAGAAACTGAAAACAAAAATTCAGAACATAACATATACTAAAAAAGCTCAAAGAAATTACTGAGAAAGGAAATCATCTGGGTAACGCTGAATGGAAACCCTAAACCACAAAAATTCAGGTTGTACCTCCTCAAGAACAGGTTGTTATTTTTGGGGTACCTCGTCAATGACTTCAAGGAGAAACACCGTTTCGTTTCATCCTTGACTGTATAGTGTCAATTTGGTAGTAAGTGGTTCACTCCAGTTTGACTAACAATGAAATAAAACCTGCTACTATTGTCCTTAGTGATACACTGCATCGTCCTTAATGATACACTGTATAGCCCAAATGTTTAGCAATTGAAGTTATCAATCCCCATTGACAATATTACCAAATCTAGTGTTTGAAATGTTTTGTACCTTGGGTCTTTTTTCGTGCACGATTCACAACCGTGAACTATAATTATCGACTATTTTAGAACTAGAACGGGTCGTTCTGGTTCTAGGTGTATTCAAGAAATTTGGCATCCGTCTACGCATCTACGTGGCATCCACGTGACATCCACGTGGCCAATAGTTAACTCTGTTTAAATCATTTGAACGGAAGTCCTAAATTGCAATAATTTAAATTATTGGGGACCAAATTGAAACAAAAAATTAAAATGAGACTAAATTGAAACAAAAAAAATATTATAAGGGACCAAATAAAAATTTTAACCTAAAACAATTAAAATAATTATACCCTCGTCTTAACACGATTCATGAAAACTTCTAAAATAACTATTACTTGAGACTTGACACGTTTTTTTTCTGCAACTCTTGGTTTTTTATATTCTAAAAACTATTTTTAAATTATTATTATTATTGTTATCATTATTTTTTACATTTTGAAAGCTAATTTCTAAAATATGAAAATAAAATGTGCAAAAAGAAAAGAGAGGTGAAAAAGTAATCTCCTTTGGAACTCTGTTAGATCTTCTTACAATAGCCCTAGTTAGTTATGGCCCAATAAAGAATGATGGCACTCTTGACCAAAAAAGAAACAGAAAGCCCTAATGTAACTGATAATACTTGTGTGGCCCAACCCTGCCAGACAAATGAGGGAAATTTTGGTACGCCCATGGTTGATTGTCGATTTTGGGAGAGAATTTGTTTTTATTGTTGGTTTTTTTTTTTATCAAAAAATTTGGATTAGAATAAAGTGCGATTCTATGTTTAGATTCAACTACTAAATAATGATAATTAACTATATCTTTATTTATTTATATATACATATATTACTAAGTAAATAAACAAGCATGAATTTATAAGAAATCAATTAAAGTTTTAAATTAACTTATAAGAATCATATTATATATTGAAAAATAAAAAGAGTTGAATCAATAAAAATATAAATTAATTAAATAGTATTAAAAAACAATTTATTTAAAATATAAAGTACTGTATTTGCTAAACAAAAAATAAGCATAACCAATGGTCGAAAACTTGGTTCATATATCCTAGTCAATATCAAAGTTAGAGTTAAAACTCTATAAGAAATTTCATATGTGTGGTGAGACAAAGTTTGAATCTATACACAAGTTTAGACCAGTTTCATTCGTGTAGTTTAGACTAGTTTGTAGTCGATTGAATGATTAATTTAGATTAAGGATGAATCAAATAAATTCGTGAATTGGTTCGTGATTTTTCAACTAGTTAGACTAGTTAGTTTAGTTTAATCTTAAAATCTATTTGACTATAGCTAATTACTAATTTAGGACATGATTGTTTGATATTATTTTGGATCGACAATTACTTGAATACTTAGCTCAAATGTATTCTTTGATCCCAAATGCTTTCAATTTAATGATTAATATAATAATGTGATAAGAAATAAAAATTTTATGTGGTTATGATTGATAACTTATGTAAGGACATAACATAAGTCACATAACAATCATTGTCCAAGATCTTTGATGCTAGGTGATACTAATACAAATATAAGGGGGTAATTACACCATGAAGGCCGGTTTTAAGAATTGTTTGTTTATGTATAAAAGATGTTTTTTTTTTTTAAATAATTGTGTTGAAAAAAATTAAAATAATTATTTTTTATATTTAAATATAAAAATGTGATATGATTATAAAATTTTGTTATTTTTAAAATTTTTTTCTTATATTAAATTTATAAAATGGTAAAATATACTTTTGTTTCCCATAAAATTTTTCAAAGTTTGGTTTTAGCATCTAAAAAGTATTGTCTTATTTTGGTTTTTTTAATTTAAAAAATGCCCCATTTATAAAGTGCGTTTTTTTTTTTTTACGATTTCACATTTTAATGACAACGAATTAAATTATACAATTTTAGAAATTTTAAAATTGATCCAGACTGCTAATTTGCGATTTTTCAACTGTTTTTTTTTTTTTTTGGATGGGTTTCTGATTTCTCATTAGGATTGATTTAATTTTGAACACCTATATTTAAAATTATTCATATAACACTTTATAATAAACAATAATATATAAGTAAATTGAATGAAAAATATAGTATAGATTGTCAAGATTTGTTAACATTTTTTGATGTAATAAAATATGTCATTTTTAATTAAAGGTTTAATACACTATTTGAACTCTAAACTTTTAGGAAATATTTAATTAGGCACTTAAATTAAAAAAAATTATAATTGTGTCTTTTAACTTTTTATGTTTTTGTAATTTAATCTATAGGGTTAGAATTTTGTTTGTAAATCATGAAATATGACATAATATGTTTTATATCATACATACATAGTCATATTAGAACATAATATGTTTTATATCATACATACATAGTCATATTAGAACACTATTCTATGTATCATCATTCATATGTGTCATGTTTTAATGTATTTTGTAAAATTTATTATAATTTCCTTATTTATAATTATTTTCTAGAATAGTAAAAAATTTAAATATATATTAAAACCTAATAAACATGAATGATGACATGACAGTAATATTATATAGTTGCTCGAGTATAAAGATATAAAAAAATTTTCTGTCAAACTTCACGAATAATAAACAAACTTCTCAAAGACTAAATTATAAAATTATTAAAAAATAAAATAAAAGACTTGATTACAATTTTTATTTTTATTTTAGAGAACTAATTAAAATTTTTCAA